GGGCTAGAGAGGCAGACCACCCCTTCCAGCTTCTTTGATAAGCCCTGCAGGGAAGCCCAGCAGTTCTACCAGCTGCAAATGAGAAAAGAAACCACAGGAACTTCACCCTGAGACAGTCCCTCCTCCCATCATCCTGGTATCTTCCACCTGCTCAGCTTGGCCCCTTCCCTCCTACGCCTCAGGACTGGTGCATGCGTTGCCCCCTCAACTCCTCTCTGAAACCTGGAAAGTCATATTAAATGAGTGTCCAGTTCCTGTTGCCCCTCTTCCTCTGTCTGCTTTGCTCTTAGCTCCCAGTCTCTTATCTGGACTCCAGCGGCCTGCTCTTAACCAGGAACATTGTCATCTCAGTCCCATGTGCCCAGCCCTAGAACACTCTGCTTTTTCCCTCCCCTGTGTCTTGCCCCAAGGCTTGCCGGCCCTCAGCATCTTGGCCAGGCCTTGCCCTGTCTGTGCCCAGCACCTCCCACCTGACCCTGAAGGGCTTTCTGCTATGCTGAGGGCAGGCTCAGACCCAGCCTCGACCTCCAAGCCTACATGCAGGGTGCCTCAGCCTTCCTCTTTTTGCTCCTCTTCTCTTCTACAGCCTGTCCCCTTCTCACACGCTCCACTGATGGAGTTGAAGAAATCACAGCAGCATCACTGAAAAGACCATGTGAGTCAATGCAAGTGTCCCTTCTACAGCATCCCTGATTGGTGACCATCCAGTTGTGCCTGAATATCCCCCCTGACCAGGAGCTCATTCCCTCCTGAGCTAGCTCTTCCCACTGTGGGACAGTTTGGCTCTAAGAATTGTCTTCCCTATATTGAGTGGAAACCTGCTTTGCTGTAGCTCCCACCCCCTGCCCTCTTCCGCCCTCTGGGGCCACAGTGAATGAGTCTAATCCACCTTCCACAGCTCAATGGCTGGGCGTGCAGACTGCGAAGCCAGATGATCAAGGTTCCCATCCTGGCTCTGCCATTTGTGTGCTGTGTAGCTTTGGGCAAATTTCTTTACCTTTCTTGGCCTCCATGTCCTCATCTGTAAAATGGAGGTGATAATAGCACCTACCTCATAAGAGTTACATAAAGATTAAATGAGTTAATAAATATGAGGCTCTTATATCTGACACGTAATACATGCTCAGTAAATTACATTATCTGAAGAGTGCTGTTTCATGCCCCACTTTACTTACTCTCTTTCCCATCAGTCAACATCTTTTTCAAAATACCCTTCGGGCCGGCCCGGTGGCACACTGCTACAGTGCGCCGCTTGGGAGCGCGGCGGCGCTCCCGCCGGGGGTTCGGATCCCACATACAGACCGGTTCCCGCTCACTGGCTGAGCGAGGTGCGGGAGCAACACCAAGGATTGCGATCCCGTTGCCGGTCCCGGTCCAGTACGGGCGCAACACTGAGGGTTGCGATCCATTGCCGGTCACGAAAAAAGACAAAGAAAAAAAAAAAAAAAAAAAAAAAAAGCTTCAAAATACCCTTCACGCGGCACAACTCCCACATCCTTCCAGCTCTCGCCTATCCTGCAATGGAGTTCGCTTAACACCCTCTTCCGATGCTGTCTCCAAGGTGAAGCGGAGTCACTGTTCCTCACCACCCGGAAGCTATTCTTCTATTAATGTGGAGAAGACTAATTAACTTTGCTGAAGCTGTATCGCATGGTTCATGCGACCTTTGTGGTCAGCTAAAATCCCAGGATCTCTTTCACTTGACCCTCTCAGGGCTTTCAGCCTCACGGGCTCTACCCCACCTTCTATCTGTCCGAGTCTCCCAGGCTTTAGACCTTCCTTCCACATGCTTTGCCCCTTCTCAGCATGGCACCCCAGCTCTAGAATGCCCTTCTCTCTCACCCCAACTCATTAGTTCTGTCTCATCAGTCTTTAAGCAGAGCCTGGCAGTCTTCCACCTCCGTGAAGCCCTGCAGACAGATCACACTGTAGTTACCGGTTTTGCTGGAGTTGTTCCAGCCCTCTGGTGAATCTTCACCTGTCTTCTCGTCACCTGCCATGCGCCCACCCTCAGCCTCTGCAAGCATTGCACATCTTGCTTTCGAGGTCTTAGCTGTATTCTGCCTGTCTGTCCCACCTGCCTGTGGCTCGCAGGGCAGTGGCTCATCTATGGTGCTGTGTGTCTCGCAGAGACCAGTGTATGAGCCAGTGTGTGACACAGCACGTGAGAGCACCTTGTGGTCCTGCCACTTCTAGGGAGTCACTGCTTCGTCTAAACTTCCCCACACAGGGACATCCTGTTCCTCCAGCCGCAGTGGATGACGGCTGGACAGCCTGACAGACGCCTGGCCGGGCAAGGAAGAAGTGAGTTTTTCTGACGCACCCAGCTTCCCTCCCCTCTCCAAACTCTTAGCTATTTTTTTCTTTATTTTCCTTCCTGTGTTGAAAGAGCTATGGGGCCTGAACCATGGCAGGGCTTCCTGGGGACATTCCATAAATTCCTCATGGGCTGTTTCTCTGGAGAGGGAGGGGGTGAGCGAGTGGTAAATGGGAGTCCAGCGGCTGCAGCTGCCGGGGTGTGAGTGGCAGGTGCCCGGGGCAGTGCGGGTGAAGGAAGAGTGAGTGAGTTGCATGGGGGGGTGGGGGGAGGATATTATGAGCTCATAGAAACAGCCAGAGAAAGGCCAAGCAAAGAGCGAGAAGGCACAGCCAACTCACAGGTCAGAACAAGCTGTGGGCAGCCACACCCACAGGCTGACCTTGAACCCACTGACTTGACTCCACAGTGACTTGCCCGCCAGTGTCCCAACAGCACCCAGAGGACTTGGGCAACTCGGGTGTGTGGCTTGGAAAGATGCCAGATAGCCCCTGTGTGTGTGCTGCGCAAGATGTACAGAGATATGGGAGGGTTGGCGCAGGGTCCCTTGAGTCCGGCTGGGTCATCCTACTTTATCCATTCCTCATCCCTCCACTCAGCAAACGCTAATTCCTCAACTGCGATCTAGGGCCAAAGAGAGTGGAAGCATTAGCCCCTGGCTGAACTCGAACAAGCCTGGACCTGAAGAATCATCCTCAGCCTCCATCCCTGGCCTTCACAGCTGCTGCTTTAAGTAAAGAGGGTGCCAAACTGAGAGTCAGGGCAAAAACCAACTTTTCCTAGATCTCTATGCGTGGGCGAGACACTTTTCTTCTCTGGCCTCAGTTTCCCTGCTGAATACTGAGGGTATTGGTCAGACGATCTCTAAGTTTCCTTAGAGAATGGCTTTATTTTTCAAAAACGTTTGGGGCCTATCCCACAAGTGAACTCTTGGTGAACAGTTTAAGGAGGAGGAAGGGAATAAATATGAATAAAGCCTGACCTTCCTCTAACAGAACTTTGAAGAGAATAAAGGAGAAAAACAGAGAGTCACACAAGTGATCTGGAGCAGTGACTGGAGGTGGGGAAAGGGATGGGGAAGGTGCTGAGCACCTGCCTTGTTATGTTGCTGCTGGCCCTTAGAAAGCCTGTGTGCAGTGTAGAAAGAGGTGGTCTCTATGGGCAGGTGAGCTACTAAGAGGAGCTCCACCGGGCCAATGTCTATACCACAGGGTGCATTGCATGACAAGGACAGCTTAGCTGGATTTCAACCCTCACTAGGCCCCTTCACCCAATGCCCCAGTGACAGGCACCTTCTGCCCAACTGGATGTAGTGACCCTGGCTAAGCAGGGAAGTAGCAAGCCTCAAGGGTCCAAGCTGAACCGTGTGCCCCTAGAATATGCTGCTTTTAAGTCTTGATGCAATTTCATGGAGCAACTCCTTCCCTCTCTCATTTGGAGAAAGCAAATGCAGGGACCACACTCGTCTCCTCTCTTCCATGAGCAGAAAAGTCAAGCTATGGTCCACCGTCCCAGGCAGAGTGGAGGGCACAGGACAGGGACATGTAGGGACCTTGCCAGAGAGCAAGGAAATGGTTAATTAGCTTTGGTATCACGAGAGCCAGAAGAGGTCTGGAAGGTTCAGCACCTCCACTGTAAACCCAGACCAGTTCTTCTCGCCTCCTCTGGCAGTAACTCAGAACAAGCAGAACATGGAAATTCAGGCTCCCTCCCTGCTGATTCCTTCCACATTCCCAAACAACAGCCTTCCCAAGGCTCTAAACGGATTAGGAGGAAGGAGCTCGAGGGTGATGTCAACATCAAAGGGTGAGACGTAGCAGGTCTTGTATGTGCCTTGATCCACAGGTGGCGGGACTGGGGAGAGGTGGCATGAGGGTGAGCTTGGGAAAAGGGGATTAGCTGGGGCCGGAAAGAATGTGGCTGCTATAATCCCACATAATGAACCAGACTGTGCTCGCTCTCCACACCCTAAGCACTAGACAAGCAGGTACAAGCTGTGGGCTTCAACCTCTGCACCAGAGGCCTCCTGTGCTGCCAGCCTGCTCCCTCCAGCTGGCAGAGGTGCCCAGGGAGGCACGGGATGTGATGCCTACATCTTTCTGGCAGCTCAGGTCTGGGTGGAAGATGGGGAGGGAAGAGTCTGTGATTGCAGGAGGAGGAAAGACAAAAGAAGGGCCTCTTACATGGCCACCGCATTCCATCAGAGAGCAGCACCCACCATTCGTCCCAGGTTCTTAGAATTGGGACCCATAATCTGCTTCAACTAGCTTCTTTGGATTTAACAAACACCTGTGACCAGTACAATCAACTCTACAGGTCCTAGGGACGAATTTGTGATGTGGGTGATTCACAACGTAGATAACCAAAAAATCGGTTCTACTTGACTTGGGAATGAGGAGTGATTTTTTTTTCCCCTTTAGGCAGATGTACCTTCTTAATTCCTTGACATTTGGGCAATATTAAAATATGTTTACATTCCCTAGATACCCATTGACTGTTGGCTGGAGGAAGCAGCTAGAAGATAAGCTGCAAAATTAATCCCTTCCTCCTTCCCCATTTCACCCCATCTCCCAAGAAAATGAAGAGTTGCCTGTAATTAACTCTCCACCAACAGCTACCTTCCAGAAGGGCCTCTTGGCTGAAGAGCTGAATGGTATCAGAGGACCTGAGCTCACAGACTTACCTTTTTCAGCTTGCCACTCTTAGTCCCCACAAAAACCACACTGTAGCCATTGTAAACGTAGGAGGCCACGGAGGTCATGCGGTCCCGGCTGGTGGTGTACAGGGTCAGACCCTCCACTGGAGTCGAGCCTCCAAGTGGCTGGTTGATGTCCAGTCCACAGAAGTTGTCATCGATGGGGACTGGCTAGAAGGAGGGGGAGAGACTGGGGTGAACAGCAGCGGAGGCACTCCTTACGTCCCCCACCCCCGACCGACAACCCCAGGACACCAGGCCTCAGAGAGGCACAGACACGGGGTTCAGGGCCTAACACATGCTGCAGACAAACCTCCCCACCAACCCCATATCGGCTCCTATAAAACCAGATAAAGGAACAGCAGCATTCCTCCATCCACCTGGAGTCACCTGTGTCCACCTTTCTGCCAGAAGAACCAGGGTCAATTTATAAAGCTGATTGCTTAAACTTGTTTTCTGCTTATTTTAATGTTCCTGTGGAACGTATTGTTCTGTGGGGATCTTTGTATTTTAGCCAAGAGTCCCTTCCGTGGATATTCAGTCTAGAGGCAATATCACAGGATTTCTACCAGCATGGAGAAGTTTTCTTGTTTGTTTGTTGGGCTGCAGGGTCTCCCTTGGGGCACAAGAAATTTTAAGCCATTCAACTATTCACTACTATCTACTATATTGGAAATAGATTGAAAGTGTCATAATAACATTGAACAGTACCTCATACTTTGGAAGAGTTATTTCATCTACATATGCCTCAGTTTCTTCATTTGGAGTAACACCTGCCCATCTTTCTGATACAGTTATGGAGGAGCAAATGAAATAATCCAATTACCAGCAAAAGAGTTGTATAACTCTTTTCACTACTGCACATTATAGGTCATCAACAATGTTTCGGTAAATATAATCAAAAGAGAATTCTGGAGGTGATGTCCTTTCTACTTAGATAGCAGCCTTCTAATGAGAGTGGGGACGTGACTGTATGAAGAATGTCTGTCAGGAGAGACTGGGGCACCTTTGAAAGGAGATCACTCTGAACAAGTGAAAAAAATTGCTGGACAGAAAGCAGAAAGATCTGAATCCTAGCCTCTGTTCCCCTGCTAACTGGCTGTGCAAACTTGGACTGGTAGAATCCTCTCTTGGGATGTTAAAGACGATGTTAAATTGATGATTTCTAAGATCTCATTTAGAGAAAGAAAGAAAAGAAGGAAGGAAGGAAGTATAAAGGAAGGAAGGAAGGAAAGAAGAGAGAAAGGAAGAGAGAGAGAGAGATTATGCTTCCTGAGGACAGGACGGCTGAAGGGTCTGCATTCTTGGCATGGTGCCCAGCACAAGGCTGAGCCATGGTGGGTGCTCTGAAACACCCCTGCTGATTGCACAACATGGAATCCTGCGGCAAAGGCTGCAGACCCTGAGCCAGAAAGAGCCTTAGTCCTGTGGCAAGGGTTCCTACTGGGTCTGGGGAGGCCTCGCAGAGGTGGAAGGAAATGGCTATTGTGGGAAGCATAGAAGGCATCAGAGAGAAGTCTGCTCCCTGCTGCCTGCAACCTCCTCCTCTCACCCTCATGAGGGAAGAGCAGGCTGACACATCATCACTTGCTGACAGTCTCATTTCCTTGGAATAATTGGTTTATAAGCTACAGCACATGATTTTTTTTTTTTTTTTTTTTTTTTTAAAACCAGGGA